GAATTCTGGGAGTTGAAGTCCACACATCTTAAAGTTGCTGAGTTTGAAAAACCCTGCTTTAACCCTTAGCCCGAGAACACATCATGCTCTCCATGCATTTATCTCCCTTCTTTCACCATGCTTTCAGGTCAGATCAGAGACTTAAAAAAAAAACAAGGTATACCTCTAGGTGGAGAACCCAGGGCACTTGGAAATATAATGCTTTCTTTCTTCACCCCAGTGCCGGGAGGGGACAGCTTCCTTATCCAAAATGTCCGTCTGCAGAAGTGCATCCACGCTTCGCCTCACAAAGCTGAGAAAGTCAGCCTGTCCGACTGCAAGGCGCATTCCCCGCAGCACCAGTGGCGCTGGGACAGGGCAGCCGGGGCTGTGGTGAACGAGGGCACCAGGCAGTGCCTGGCTGCCTCCAGAGCTGAAGAATTTGCAGCAGCTCAGCTGGAGACCTGTGGGGAGGGGGCACATCAGGCCTGGTCGTGCAGCAAGAAAGGCCATTTGACTTTACAAGGACGCAGCCTTCATCTCAGCGTGAAGCCAGGCGGGCACGACGCCTTCCTGTCCCAGGAGAAAGGCAGGTTCAGCAAGTGGAAGACGGGCTCGGGCGCAATCGTCTGTGCCACGGAGCTGGTGAGAGCGCCTGGACTCGGCGAGCCAAGGGAGACCTCCTTGGATGGCTTGGCGGGGGGACCTGAAAGTAAGGCAAGATGGACGCTTGCACAGAACGCTGCACTGCTTGCTGTGTGTCAACCCTTCGAGGTAGTCCAGGCAGGAAACCAAAACCATGAGGACTAACGCTACCTTTATTGCAAGGTTACAGCGCTTCCCCCCTCTCTTAACTTTACTTTCCAGAGAACTAAGGAGGGTCCCTTCTGAGACGCTTTCTCCACTTCCATTCCTTCTGTGGGCTGAGACCTCTCTTATCTCTTGCCCTGGCTGGGGCTCTTCCGCCCATCTCCCAAGGTCATTCTCCCAGCCCATCGCACTCTGAGCACTTCTTCCCCGCGCTCAGGACGTTGCTGCAATGCAGACGCTGGTGCAGTTGGGGATGCTCAGCTATGCATGATGCTGCCTTAGGTGGCAACGGGATACATATTTTATGCCTAATGTGGCTTGTTCAATGAATCTCACAAGTGGCACAGTTCAGCAGAGCACTAAGCCGAGCCATACCTTTGTTTACACATCACTGGTGAGGTTCATTCAGCACACTAAGCTAAAACCAAGAAACCGCATTGTTAGCGCATGATGTGAACCCAACTGGAGTTAGGCAGTCTACAGGATTCCCTCCCCATGATGAACACTCCACTTGCCTCCTCAAGACCAGAGTTCAGCACCTTTGGGGGGTCCCTCCATGGATATGTCTAATGTTGGCAGTAAATGCTTTCCCCATGGGGGGGGTCTTCACCAGGGAATGAACTGGGGAATTAAGCAAGTTCCCTTCTTATTTCAGGTTAGTAGGGGGCTTTGCCCTTTACCAGATTAAGCAGCCCAAAGAAAATCAGGACTGGGTGGCATATAAATGTGTAAATAAGCACTTCGATCCATTTACCACCACGATAGAACTGAAGGCACCAGGCCAGGTGAGGTCCTTCCTGGATCCTCCTTCAAACCTCTGATCTCAGGGTAGGTCTGGGAGGCCAAAACACCCAGTAGCAGGGGCATTCACAAAGGTGGGGGAGATCAAAAAAGTCAATATGACATCCACAACCTCACATTTTTAACATGCCTTGTAAAATAGATACCCTTGAGCTAGAGCAGTGTTTTTCAAACTTGGCAACTTTAAGATGGGTGGACTTCAACTCCCAGAATCCCCCAGCCAGCCTAGAGGGGCCAGTCATTGGACCCTGCAAGACAGCTGTAAAAGGGGGCTTGGTTGTGTGGACATGACCGCCATCTTGGCCTTTTTTAACCCATCCCCGCCTTCACAGACCCTCCTGCCCAGCGAGAATCCGGAAATTGTAGTTCTTGTAGCTCAGCAGGACCTGGAGAGCTGCCAGGGTGCCCATGGAATAGGCCTTCCGTTCTCTTGAGACGTGCAGTATAGACCAAATACCTTTCAAAACGTGGAGGACAGAATTCACTTTGGGGTCTGTTCCCATGGATCCCTTTTGTTGCATCTTAATTCTTCTGCACCTTCCAAAGCCCAGCTTCATCCATTTGCCTCACACTTCCTGCCTTTGATTTCAAGGTTTATATTCCCTGAAAACAGGTTAATTCAGGAACCAAGTTAAAAGGGTCTCCAACACTATGATTCTTTCTATCGCTTTCTTGCTCAGATGTGTCTTGGATGCATGAAGAAAAGGTAAGAGCTTCTGAATCCTCGGGGAAACTTTTTTGCAGATAAAACAGCTGGTTTCCTGGAGATTCACACCCCCTCCGTCGGGGCCGCAACGTTCCCGATGATCCATTTGGAAAGTCAGTCCAATGTCACCAGCGGACTTCCGATGTCCAGTGATAGACGTCTGGAAGCAGATAATGGTGAGTACAGAGTTGACACCAAGGCGTGAGGACATGGCTGAGCCCTGCATGCTAAGGGGTGTCCAGGGAGGGAGTCAAAAAGGTCAAGAGGGCAGTCACAAGGGCATGATCCAAAGCCCACCCCTTTTTTATCTGCACTGGCGTCACATCAACAACTCTTTCTCAGCAACTAACACTGAAAAATCGGCTTCATCTAGATGAGGAGGTCAGTTTATCAAGCTGCTTCTTGGAACTTGTGTGATCCTCTTCCAAAGCCATTGACAGCAGGGCCATAAATGAATTAGTCATTTCAGTGCTTACTCCCCTAAAATGGCCTTTGTAGGCAAAGGTGCCTAATCCATTTCCACCGTTGGTCAAAAGCAAAACGGGTCTCATTCTGGCAGCATCTTCTACAGCCATGCGCTTGGCTAGGGATTGGTCAAGACCCAACAGCAGTGCTGGGAACCAGGGTGTAGAAATTCCCCAAATTCTGTGGCATAGCTCTTGTTCGTCTGAACTTGCCCTTTCAGATGGCAAGGGCAGGAAAGTCCTCAAAGGCAGGGAAATATGGGGTGGTGCTGGGCCAAGACAGGCTCTTGTAGGTTCCTCCAGGCCCACAAGGAGGAGCCACTAAGAAGCTGCTCTCTTGAGTCTGGCTGCATCACCAGTCGGACGTCCACCTTGCTGCATCCCCCGGGCCATAAGCTAACCAGCTTGCCCAGATGAACCTGGTTGAGTGCTGCAATTGTAGAGAGACCAAAACAACCCAAGATCTAAGATGGGAAGGCCACCCAGATTCTGGCTGTATTCATACATTGCACAAAGCCCATTTGCTGAATCATGATTTGCTGAACCAGCCACAACTGGCTGGGTTTGCAGATTATGTCGAAGTGTAATATGGTTTGTTACTATAGTTGAAATAAACTATAGCTTAGCATGATGTGTTTTCTCAGGGTTCACACAACATACTAAGCCACTAACAATAGTTTTGCAAACGCCATTGGCAGGGCACGTACAACATGAGAATCTGAAATGAAACAAATAACATTACAGCTTAGTCTGGGGGTGCTGTGCCAGTCCAGCCTCTGTAAACAGAGATTCTTCCTGGGGCTCCATCCTGTCTTCTTCTCCCCACTCCCCCCCCCCCCAAAAACATCACACTCCCCAAAAAAAAAAAAAAAAAAAAA